GAGCAGCGAGCACCGACTCGGACGTTGTGCAGGTCCTCCTGCAGGCCGGCCAGCTTCTGCAGCTCGTTCTCGCGCACGTGCTTCTGCACGTACACCACCTGGTTGGGGTAGCTGGGGGGCAGCAGGTACTGCCGCATGTCGCCGCCCACCTTCTCGCTCTTGCTTTCGGACTTCTCGCTCCTCTTACTCGGGGATTTCTTCACCTTGGGGGATTTTTTCTCCTCCTTTACCTTAAGTTAAATTACATTTTTAATTTATCAAGATCAAAATAAAATAGAATTAACAATATTAGTGGCTTGAAGGTACACTACTATTTACCACAATTACTTTATATTTTCTAGAGTAAAGTGTTTATATGTTTAAAATTTATAAAGTTAATATGATACTAGTTTTCGTTGCATATTGAACATTGGACGCTTAGTGTAATGAAGATCAAAAAAACATGCAAAGCTGTTTCAGTGACTGATACAAATCTATGACATTTGAAAAAATCGACTACAAAATTACAACGTTTTTTCAGTGTAATTTGTTTGTTGTTTATTTTTTTAAAACAATAACATTCTGAATATCGAAAAATTCTTTACTTCCAAGCATTACTTCTATTCACAATAAGATGGGAAACTAGACATGATAATATGCGAAGAATTTAAAATAGCAGACACATAAGCGGTTACCTGTTTAGACATGATCACTCTCGTAGACATCACAAACTGTACACAATCGCTAATTAGATATGTTTATGACAATCAAAATATTTGCATAAATAATTTAAATAATTCAGATTATAAACAAAATTCAAAGTATTTAATACGCGGCCAGCCGCGGTGCACTGACGTATGCAACAATCCACAAACTATAGTTATCTACCCACATTTATATTGCACATTTATTGCAATATACATAGGGTAGTTTGAAATTAAAACATTCCGATTTTTTAATGAACTACATTATCTATAACAGTTACTGTTACAGTTTTTACTAAAATTTTTAGATCAACTTTATTATTACCAATTACAAAAAAAACGATATTTTTGTAAAGTTATTTACAATATTATAGTTATATATATGGTTACATTTAAAGTTTATCATAAATCTATTAAAACAAAACGAAATAAAAATACTTTTATTACGTTTACAAAGAAAAGGTGAGATGAAGGAGTGAGGACTGAGGTATACACTCACCGGGTCCTCATCATCGCTGCTGAGCGCGATGACCTCGGGCTCGCGGTCGATGATGGTGACGTCATCGTTGATAACATTCTCCTTGTAGCCGCTGCCGTCACTCTTTATGCTGTTCAGTACTTTATTCCTTAGGAAAGTGCGTTTGCTGCCCGTCAAGTCGTACACTTCTACCTCGTTATGCGTCAAATCACATATATCATTCTCGATTTTACTTTTCCTCTTCGAATTGTCTCGAAATGACTCGTTAAATTCATTTGTAACATCTTTCAAAGGACTGGTGAATGGGGAACAGGTTAATGTAGAAGTATCTTTAACTTCTGCAACGTCGTTTGCTTTTTCAGGCGATATCCGAAGTGAGGCGCTGAAGTCGGGTAGATCTACCAAGCTGTTAGAGGAGCCCGGACGTGAAGAATTCTACGTACGAACAAAAATGGTTTAAACGAGAGACACAACACGTGATTTACTAATATCACAATACTTACATCGTCAGATTGTATATAGTCAGATTCGTCGCTCGCCGTCTCCTTGGGCACGAAGCCCATGATACTCATCCGCGTAGCGCGAGACACCATCAGATGATCATCGTTATCATCACTTTCTTCACTCTTATCTTCTCCCGTAGAAACAGAATCTTTTGTAATTCCTTCATCACCATCATCATCATTACTATTACTTGTTTGGGTTCTTTTCTTAAAACTAATTTCTTTGTCAATATTATCACCAAGAGGTTTATCATTGTCCACTTTTAGACAATCCTTTTCCTCGTCACTCTCACCTACACCTTTCTTTTCATTTGTATCATTAAGTTGACTAACATCAGTGTTGTCATCATCACTTATAGCATTAGCTAAAACTTCACGGTTTAACTTAAGAGGTGTTTGCTGCATACAGGGGAGCTTTTTGTTCTTATTTTGTTCGATGACAATGGAGTTGTCAGTGTCAGAGTCCACAATCATTATACGTTTCCTATTTTTACGACCGATAAAAGATTCGGAAGATCTTCTTGATGATTTTGTGTTGGGACGAGGCCGTGGCACAATTTCAGGAGACATTTCTGTTTGTTAAAATTGAATTAAAACACATTAATGTTATGTAGTTGGCTACATAGGCATAATAATTGATATTTAAAATGATTATTTGTAAGATTTCTATCAATAGAATTTAAAAATTAAAAACATTTATTGCAGCCTGGCTAGATATATTCTATAACATCACTTGAAAAGAAAATAAGCTAAGTCATAAAATTTACTATACTATCAGATGAACTTACCTTCATCAGAAGAAGTATCTTCACATTTTCTAGATGCGCCGGAGGAACTCATTACGCTGTCTCTTCTTGTTTCTAAAGACAGGCAGAAGTATTGCTTGTTTTACACAATGCTTTTTAATTAAATAACATTCTTAATAACTGGGATTCACATAACAATTATTAGTATATTAAATACTTTTTATATTTTAATAGGGGTTGATACAAAAGTTAGTTCCATACTTCCTCAGGCATGGGCTAAGAATTATCTATGCACATAGTTAATGTATAAATTTAAAATAATATTGTGTATACTAACCATCCTCACTGCTCGATATAACGGTGGGGGCGGCAACACTAACATTGTTTGTCGATACTGAAGAGAACTTCTGAACATTATCTTCATCACTGACATCTACAAGAAACAACATGTTATCAAAATACCTCTATATTACTACTAAGTCTAAGATATACAGAATTTTGTTACCTTCGGATTCCGATTCGTCAGACTCTGGAACGAAAACCGTCTGATTCTTAAAACCTAGTTTCTTTTTTGTAATAAAAGATTGATCTCCGACAAAACTATCGTCTATTACTTCTGTTTCAGAATCGCCTTCTACTTTTGTAGAATCGCGATATTCAAAAAACGAGCTTTCCATGTTTTATTTAAAATAATAAGAATTCATACATTATAATCGAACTAAAAACAAAGTTTACGAAAATTCAAAACAATTTAAAAAATATTGCCGTTACGGCAAAACGTCAAACTTGTCAATCATTTGGTGCTGCCACTTGTCATCCATAACAGATAGTTGCCATTTTAATTGTTTAATTGCTACCTATTTGTCCAAATCTGGCGATTTCTAGGAGGAACAGGGTCATGTGGATTTTTAACTACTCGGTGGTGATCCCTTAAATGCATCTGGTCGAGGATCTGACAATTCCTTCATTGCCATGACAAACTTGTTTTATCGTCCACATGGTGTAAAAGAAATTATTTTTCATCTTTCCCTTAGGAGAGGATAAAGTAATTCAAGGCAAAATTCTAGCATATTTGTTTATTACAGAAACTTAAATACAAGATTGAATGTTTATGCGTAGTAGCTGAGATTGGCCTTCTTCTTGGCTTGCACCTCGAGGATGGCGTCCATGAAGTCCTCATGCGTGACGGCTGCGGCGGAACGGCGCAGCGCGATCATACCCGCTTCCACGCATACAGCCTTGCATTGCGCACCGTTGAAGTCGTCCGTCGACCGCGATAGCTCCTCAAAGTTCACATCCGGGCTCACATTCATTTTGCTACAAAATATTTATTGTATCAGTGACATTATGTATTCTATAGAGAACAAGACATAAAAAATATTAGTTGGAAAGTAGACAATCTTTGGATTTTACCGTGAATGAATCTGCATAATTCTTGCTCTAGCCTCTTCATTAGGATGTGGGAATTCTATCTTCCTGTCCAGGCGGCCGGATCTGAGCAGGGCGGGATCCAGGATATCCACTCTGTTTGTAGCGGCTATGACCTGCAAATACAAGTTGACAATGTAACCTAATACCTCTGAAGTATTTCGTAAATTCTAAAGTTCTGGGAGTTTCCTTTTTTGTTCCTTAAAAGCCCTATTTACAGAAGATAATATTGGGCAGAAACAGAACTTTTAACAGACCTTAATATCGGCAGTGGAGCTAAAACCATCAAGTTGGTTAAGAAGCTCCAACATAGTCCGTTGAACCTCACGATCTCCAGCCTTTTCTGAGTCAAATCTCTTTGTACCAATGGCATCCAGTTCATCAATGAAGATGATGGCTGGTGCTTTTTCTTTAGCGAGAGCAAATGCATCTCTGACCAGCTTAGCTCCATCACCTGTGGTAATACACATCACAAGGAATGAAAACAATCTTATATCATAAACAGAAACTCTTATAAGTACCAATGTTATTTTACCAATAAACATCTGGACCAGCTGTGGACCAGCAAGTTTGAGGAAGGTAGACTTGGTTTGTGCAGCACAGGCACGAGCCAGCAGCGTCTTGCCAGTCCCTGGCGGGCCATACAGTAGGACTCCCTTTGGCGGGTGGATGCCTAAGTTGACAAATTTCTCCTTGTGTGTCATTGGCAACACTACTGCCTCAATAAGTTCCTAGAAATAGATAATTACAGTTAGTATCCTATAAAATTTAACACTAGCACTTAATTATAAGAGATAACAAAACATTTATGTTAAAAATTAGAACTCTACTGACCTGGATTTGTTTATCAAGACCTCCAATATCAGAGTACTGTTCTGTTGGTCTCTCATCTACCTCCATGGCCTTCACCCTGGCATCGTACTCAGCCGGCAGTGTCTCCAAAATCAAATAAGAATCTTTGTTTACGCCAACCAAATCACCAGGCTTAAGTTTTTCAGCATCAACTAACCCAATTACTGGTAAGAAATATGTCTGTCTGGTAGATGTTTTGATGACTGCGCATTTACCCTTTCTCTGAGAGTCTAAATCAACCACAGCACCGTCTTCCTCCTCCTCCTGAGGGTCTACATCTAGAAGTTCTATAACGTTTGAAACTAAATAGGGAAGGGTTTTGTTCACTTTGATCTTTTCTGTGTTTTCTTTGATTTTATCATTCTGTGCTTGTAGTTCGTGTGTGATTCTCATCACTTCACTCTTCATGATTTTTATTTCATTGTCCAAAAGCCTGGAACGGCCAATAATTTCGTCTGTCGGCATACGTAGGACTTCATCGCTTAGCGCTTCCTCTCCGTCTTCCCAGATTGATTTATCTTCGAGTGTTGTGGCCATTATTATTTTTATAATTCAAACCACACTACAAGTACGGACTTATCGTTTTAACAAACAAAAATTGAGAAACAGACTTTTTCTTGCTTACAAATCTGAAATCTGAATTGTCATTCTAAGATTTGGTGTTTCTATCATGCAAAAATATTTTGTTTATGTCTTTTTAACTTTCGCAAAAGTCAATTTCAACTATTTATTCTTAATAAACAGCACACAATTTTATTAAAAAGCTCTTAGATTTTAAATCTAATAATAAAACGATTGTGGTGATTTTTTTGGGCTTTCATACCATAAAACATTTAATTTCAATAATAGACATCTGTCCTGACACTGACGTAAAATTGACATCTGGTGTGTTTCAATTGTTTCCATTTGGGACATTTGTGTTTTGTGCTAGTTTTTACGAATTTGGGCATATTTGGTCCATAGTCGTTGCTCGACACAGCGTAAATAATTGTAATAACAATGGCCTTATCAATGTTTCTTCGCGCTCCAGGTAATGTTGTCAAAAATTCATTATTAGTGTTTTAATAAGCACATTACATAATAGTTGTTTTGAAATACTGTTTAGACCTTATTTAGTATATTTATCTGGTATTTATTTATGAAAAATAATTTTCAAAACTGTAAGAGAATCCTATATCTAATATTGTCTCAATATAGTCAGTATAAGTGAGAAAAAAATACAGTAATGGTTTTACAGATACTACTAAATTCTAATTATATTCTGACTAAGAGTAGCCTCTTATCAGTTTTTCTTAGTTTTATGAAGAATATTTCATGATTTTTCATTCCATTGGTAAAAAAACGTTTTTAATATGAATGATTCTTTTTTTTAAGTAATATTTATAGAATTAAATAACTACTCTTCAGTATTATAGCTAAATAATCATCTAGTTGTATTAACATACAAAAACAAAATTGTAAACCTCATAAGTAATAATTTATTTGTTATAATTTCCAGTATGCACAAACCAGGCCTTCAGCAAACAGATAATGCGGCTAGCAACATTTTCAGCAACAAATGGATCAACATTAACTGCACAAACACTTCCCAGCATTGTCCCACTCAAGAAAATTGCCGTTAAGACTGACATTACACCAAAAACAAATTCAGTAATCAAAATATATTTATTTATTTTGCTGTGCTTTTATATTGGTAGTGCATTTGGCAGTAGTCCTGGGTTCGAATCCTGCAATATACCAATGTACTATGAAAATGTGTTTTTCGATTTTCGAATTTCATAAGAACATTCTTATGGTGAAGGAAAATATTGTCAACGAAAATGATGTCAACCCTCGGTGGTGTAAAACCTAATGATAATGACAAATTATTGTATATACCCAGGTTCGTTCGTTCCGTACATCAGCAGTGCGCATGTCTGATGAAACGCCTCACGACCACTCCAAGCTGTGGGTGATAGAGAAGGGGGTCAGTGCACTGATGGTGCCTCTCATCCCACTCGGCCTCCTCGTACCCAACAAGTTGTTTGATTCGATACTCGCCATTCTCATCACAGCACATAGCTTCTGGTAAGTTTGTCTTTTTTATATCCCTTGAATTTTCACCTATCAAAAACCTTGAATCCTCTTTCCTTGTTCCATCCCATCCTGTGACCCCAGGGGTATGGAGGCCTTGGTGGTGGAGTATGTGAGGGTCCTCCTCTTTGGTCCTCAAATCCCGAAGATAGCGATGGGTTTTGTGTACTTCTTCACCGTGCTGTTGCTGGGCGGTCTGTTCTTCTTGAACTTGAACGACATCGGCATGTGCCGCGCCTTCTGGAGGATCTGGCGCAACATGAAGAAGCCCAGAGAGGTTATTTATAAATACAGTAGTGGATTGTTTAGTTTGGATACAAGTGATAAGTTCTATTTGAGATTTGGACATAGATAGTAGATTTTGAAATAGAATCATACTTTTTTGGTCGTTTAATTTACATTATGTTTGAGTTTAACCATTTGTCTATACTAATATTATAAAGAGGAAAGATTTGGAGTTTCGTTTTGTAACTCAAAAACTACTGGACCGATTTGTATTATAAATTCTTTCACCATTAATAAACTATGTTATCAGCGAGTAACAATTTTACGCGGGCGAAGTCGCAAGCAACAGCTAGTATGATATGAAATAAAATTCATCTCTTTCAAGTTTAATTTTTTTGTAGGTATTTAATGTAAAAAGGAATCGAGTATATTTTATAATGCAGATTTTTTAGATGTTTCCATTACTGTAGAGTGCGTACATGTATGAAGTGAACTTGAGAATTCGGTGTGAGTGAGAGTGAGTGACGCTTGCAGGGGTTTAGAGGCGATCGCTGTTGACTACGTGCGCGCGAGTGTCGTCGGCCCCATTATACCCAAAATTGCCATCGCGCTGGTGTACCTGCTGTCCATCGCAACCCTCGGCGGCCTCTTCTACATCATCAGCCACGACGTGGGCATCGGCCGCGCCGTGCGCCAGCTCTGGGCCGTCAAGTCAAACTCTCATAATGCCTAAACTGACATATTCCATATGATACATGCTGGCTTTTCAAAACTATTAGACCTTCATTGTTATATTGTTTTTTATGTACTTAGCTCAATTTTTTTTCTAATTAATGGACTTTTCTTTTCGTCCGACATTTACTTAATGTTTTGAACAAAATTGGATGTTTCAAACATCCCTGTATTTTTTGTGATTAGATCCAAGATCGTTTTTATTTGTTCGTTTTTATTTTATGTATATCTGTACCGGCATCTAAGATTATCTTAAAAATTTTGTCATTAAAGTATTACAATTTTTAGACATACTATAAAAACGTGAGAATATGTCAGCCATTCAAATAAAACAACAACAAATAAAGCTTATTATTTAGCAGATGTAACTGCTTAAACAAAAAAAAAGATTGCGTCTACATATTTTTTTTTAAATCTCTCAACTTGTCTCTTGTTTATTATTGTGAAAAACAAAATGATCTATTCAATTGACTTGTATTTTTAAAAAGGATTGTTCGTTACGTGTTCATGTTCGCGTCTGGACGATGAATATTTCTGAATATTGTAATAAAATAATTTATTGATAGAATAATAAACGTATTATAGTTGGATATTTGTTTAATTTCTTACCAAAAAGTTACATTGAAATAAACACGTATCTACAATTACCATTCATAGTAAAAATGATCTAATTAATAATAAAAATAATTTCAACCACAATAAATATTTTGATAATAACCTTGTTAAAGTACTAACCCTTATATGTAATAATCTATATTGCATGTAACAAGTACAGGTTTTTTGTCGCCTAATTGCGAGATATGCAGAAAGCCAGAAGATATCCAACACTTGCTGTTGGAGTGTGAGAGAAACAGACGGGAGCGCGAGCTACTCTTCCGGCAGCTAAAGCTCAACCCGTCCGATGTAAGCATAATTATGTCAATATTGGCTGAGCCAGCATCTGAAGCGGCTGTACGATTATGCCAGCTCGTTTCTTAGGATCTACTAGCAGCACTATGGGATTGACATGCCTTTCCCAAGACAAAAATCCCCTTTACCTAACTAAGATTAAAAAAAAAAGTACAGGTTTGTAACTTTATGACATACTTTTTATCACAATAAATTATGTAAAGTGTACGCAATACCTTTTATTTGCACAGCAAGATTATTTAGTTCTTTATGTATCAATATTTGTTATAAATTATATACAGTCTATACATTTATAAAAAAAATCAAGCAACAGAAAAACATACATGTGCTAAATAATATGTTAAAAAAAACTATAAACCGTTAATTTTAACGTAAAGGCTTGTCCCACCACTGGCTGATAGAGGCTCAGATAGCTTAAAAATGGCGTCACTTTCAGATAAGGTAACAAAATCCATTACCATCACATATTTTACATGTTGGATTGTTTGACAATTTACAATTTGGTGGGACTGGCCTTAACTATAATTTACTTAGCAATATGATTGACAAACAAGAACAAACACAAAAGAACAAACTTTTATACATTCTTGAGCATACATAACCTATAAAACATAAATTTAAATAAGTTTTTTTTAGAATAAAAAATCCATTAAAGGAAATTAAATTTATCTTGTGTTCGTATGTATGTAATTTATTTTATTATTAAAATTTAAAAAAATAACAATATTTGAAATATTTTAATGCAGACTGATTAAGATGGAAGCTTTATGCATCTTTTTATGATTTTCTTTTACAAAAAATATAAAAACAAGTGAGTTTTTGAAAAACTGAAAAAATGATGTAAGTACTTGCTTTTTTTGTACTTTATAAAAAGTAGAAATAAATATATATAACGTACATAAATATACAATTTTAGCTTGTATAAATAATATTTCTGCCTGTTGTACAGTCGAACTCATGGTAATGTTTTCTCAAACGTAGAATTACTATTTAAATGTACCAAACATACAAAATGCAATTACTTTTTACGTAACAATTAATATCTTGAGTTTGTTTTACTTGTAAACAATGGAACTATGAATACTGTTAAGTAGACAAAGATAGAAAGACTTTAAATCACTGATCAGTTTAAATTGACAGGCTGTAAGTTTAGTGAGCAAATATCTATCCATTTATATAGATCAGTGTTCGAAATACTGTTCTGAATGACTGAGACACAAAAATTTCGCACTGTAACATAAATATTAGTTATTGCTACGTATGTTTCTGCGTGTCTGTTTGTGTGTCTGTGTGCACGTGTCGCCTGTGAAATATGTCGAGCGCCTGCCACTGCTTCGTGTGCAGCAGTATGTGAGGTCGCTTTGACCGCATGTACTCCACCGCCTGAGAGGGAGACCACCCGTTTTTCTGAAATTGGTTTGTTATTTTATGGTCTGTTCGCTCTTTATGAGGTGGGGGTGTGGTGTGAGGCTACGAGGTACTGACCATCATGAGGTAGCAGCCGACGAGCGTGGCGCTGCGCGTGCGGCCCGCCTTGCAATGCACGTACACGCTACCGCCGCCCACGTGCCCGCTGTCGGCCACTTTGTCTAGTTTCCCGCCGTAAGGAAGAAACCTGGGTACATGCGCAATGAATGTCCTTGGATAATCACGAATTTTCTGTTAATGGCGTCGATGTCTCAAGACCAATACGGAAGAGATATTAAACCATATCTTTCTGTGAGGCAAAGTTACCTATTGATGAAGGTGACGCCCTCGTACAGCTTGTCCTGGTTGGGTGCTTCGAAGATGTCAGTGGTGGCGAGCTGTAGGAATGCTACGCCGTGCTCGCGCCACTTCTGCATTACATTAAATGCTTTGTTTTAATTTGTTAATGGATTAATGTACATTAAGGTGATAAATTGAAAATGTTTTATAAACAACTTTTTATATTCTTTTTAACAATATAAGTTAACAAAAAGTAATGTATAGGGTATCTTTATACATTTATACGAAGGATACTAATGCTTTAGGATAATATATATATTTGCATATTGTATTGTCGCGTTTGAAGATAAAGGACGATCACATGACGTAGATGTGTATCAGTACAGTATTACTAAAACAAGGTGTGCACCTTCGCCCACCGCGTCTTCAACAATAATTTGTCCTATTTGACACGTAGGAATTTCCTATTCCTATTCCTAAGCCATACTAATATTATAAATGCGAAAGGTTAGATGGATGGATAGATAGATGAATGTTTGTTAGAGTTTGTAGCCTAAATTCCTTGCGGACAGAGTCGCGGGCGAAAGCTAGTACTATAATATATGTTCCTTTTTAATACATTCCAGTTGTAATCCAGCGCTTATTTCCATCACTAGATTGAAATAATAGAAACCAAGCATTAAGTTCAAATGACGTTAGAATAGAACACTTTGAACCTAACTATGCAGGAGTATTAAATATGTCAAGTTGGCACTATAAAATGCTTGTTAAACTGGAGTGATCCTCACGCGTTTTATCTCAGACATAAATCTCACTGTAGGTTTCTTACGTACACTTTTTGCCCAAATATTGCAAAATACTAAGTGCACGTAACAACAAGAAATGTCCAATTTCATGTGAAAATATAACCAGTAATAAACAATGACGTTTTTTACATAATCCGCGCAAAAAGTACTCATCAATAAGTTACTATTATTGTGATTGATTATTTTCTCGTTGTGATTTTTATTATTTAACTAGCTGTTCCCGCGCGGCTTCATCCGCATATTATCATAAATTGCAAATGTCAAAATACCAATTACCTTACTATGGCAATCTTTCCTCCTCGATATTGCCAGCTACTTATAGTCTCTTTCCCATATCAGGGTTTTTATCCAAAATATTTACCTCCTAAGTTTAATGGCGTTAAAATATATTGCCTAAAGCGTGACGTAAGTATAAGGCTTTGTATTAAAGAAAGAGTTATTCAAAAATATGCTGTAATTGCTGACATCTTAGACAACAAAGAAGTGTGTGTTTACGCTTTATAATACTAGCTGTCGCCCGCGACTCCGTCCGCGTGGAATTAAAAAAAACAAAAGTGAGTAGCCTATATGTTTTTCCAGACTATGCTCTACATCTACGCCAAATTTCAACGAAATGGGTTTAGCCGTTTAGGCTACAAAGTCTAACAAACATCCATCCATCCATCTAAACTTTCGCATTTATAATATTAAGTATGATAATAATATAATAAGTATAGATAAAGAAATATAGAATATAGATAAGATATATAGTATAGAAGTATAGAAGTACGACGAGAACATCGATGGAAGCGGCTGGAATGTTTTGGAAATTAGCTTTAGCTTGTTTATCTTTGTTGAATTCTTCCAGAATAGGTGTTCCGTTTTTAAACGGTTATCACAGTAAAATCTCTGTATTGCATCGTCATACAATGGATGTTATTTTATTTTTAATTCGTTCATTACCATCACAATGCTGGGGTCGAGGATAACTAGCTGAGGGTAAAGGTTTGAGTATTCACGACGAAAATGTCACAAGTACATTTAAATAAGAAACGATATTTTTATCTACATGCCAGTAAAGTCGAGAAGTACCTATGTCTGTTACTGGAACAAGCTACTGGCGTATGTATGCCACTAAAATGTTCAAGAGACTGTAAGAGTATGTGATTATGGAATTTACAGCCTTACAAATGAACGCGTTATAAAGTTAAACTTAGGAATAAACTGAGTTTAAGAAAATATTAGTACAAATTTTGCTTATAATCACTTTATTCTTAAGTATAACTTTATACCGCGTTTATTTGTAAGGCTGTATAACTCTATAGTTGTCTATGATTTCTCACTTCCGGTTGGATTGATTAAATACAATAGTTTTTACATGATTGACATACGATTTTTTTTTATTTTATTTATGTAAATTATGTTGAGTACAAATAATGGAAAATGTTAATTTTTTCTTTTAGTTATTTAGTGGAAAATTTGATTAAGGTCGCTCATTAAACACACTCCAAGGTGTTCATAATCAAGACAGTTTTTTTCACATAAATACACAAACTTAAAGTACTCATTATACATATTTTAATAAAATTGCTATAGCAATTACCTTTAATGGGTTAGAACTTATGTGAACATTTTGTACATAACTACACAATTATAAAGCGAAAATAATTGTATTTTGTTTATAAAACATAAAGTCAAAAACAAAGTGATTACAAAAATTCTCTCACCATTTAAGTTACGTTTTTAGTAGATTTTTTTAATATCGCAAGGCCAAAGTTATGGGCATAAGCTATCTAATATTAATTAATGTTATAATTACACGAATTTAAATGGATGTATGGATGTTGTTACTAACTCTAACTACTATCTTCAACAGCTTAATGGAATTCAATGAAAATAGGAAGAACACTTTGGGTACTAAGTTATTTATTTAAAATTCATGCAGATGGAGTCATGGGCAAGCTAGTTGTGTTAAACAGGCTACAGTGTGTGTAATTAACAATGTACCTTTTACATAATGGCATCTAGTATGGTAGGAAACTGAAGTTCGCTAAGTGATAATATAATAAATCAGAAAAACATGACATGGAATTTAATGATTAGGTTTTTAAATGGCACGAGATTAAAGCATTTTGTTTGTTAGCAAATGAATAAAATACAGTACATCCTCGATAACTCAAACCTCGGTAACATAATAACATCTATAACTTCGAAAAATAATATGTTCCCATCCCATCCATTCCCATTCCATTCCCATGTGTTCCATTCCCATGAGAGCCCAAAACCTCTACAACATAGACCCTTGATAACTAAAAACCTTCAAATATTTCGTGTTTCCCTTGGACTTTAACTTATCGAGATTCTACTGTACTTTTGTAATTGGTTCGAAAGAGATAGTCTCACCTCGGCATCATTGGAGAAGATCTTTAGTTCATATGTCTCATTCATGGAGACCACTCCTTTTATGTTCTCTTCTTCTATCAACTGGAAGCAAACAATAGAGATAATGTTTACAACAACAATAATAAAACCTGTCTAATTATAATTAAATTAAAAATACATTTAATTTAATTGCATTTTGTATTACTTTCTGACTAACAGTAAAATGTTAAATAAATCAATTAACAAACTTTTTAAATCATATTTAATATAAAGCACTGACAACACATAAGTTGACAAGTGAGATTTATAAAAAATAAATTAATCAAATTACTGAAAACTCTGGAAGATATTTAATGCTTAAATTGAATAAATACTAGAATGTCCATTTCTATTTAATAAATATAATATGAACAAGGTTTTAAATAACCATTAATATTGGCTGTATTTATCTGATACAATAACCTACATATAATGTAATATACATACCTTTTTCGTCATGCTTTGAAACGGGAGAGCCCCCAGTATGACGTGGTCGTCTATCCTGTCGTACCACCGCCGGCTACTCACCTTCTCCATCACCACATTGTACAGCAGCGTAGGATAAAATGTAACTCTGGCAAACATCGCGGTGCCCTGTCAAGATGTGGTTAAGTTAACGACGTACATGTATACTTCTCGCACGCAATAATACGCGAATAATTAGGCGTGTAAAGGTGTGACGCTACCATGGTGAAAGCAGGCTGGTCTTCGTGGTGGGGATTGAATTAATTTCTGGGAAGATACTTCTCTCAACGGCGTTTCGGGTTTGTTGTGACAGAAACTGTCAATGTCAAAGTCAAAGTCACACTATAATGACATTATTCACAAATAACGTTCGGAAATGAATTGTTAAACTTAATTTCTGAATAATAGTGCCCAAACTTACTGCGCTGGCGCAGCGACCCAAAGTGGGTCTTATCCTCCTATATGAGACAGCATCAACTTTAAAACTTTTTGTTTCAAATCATTTAGTAAGTTATTATGTGGCTTTCTGACCTACTAGGCTTGATACAAATAAGATTAATGAAGTAATTCTACTTCGTCAACGTTTTATCCCTTTGTCTTTTCCCTTTATTTGTCCTATCACAAAGAAAAACTAACATTTAAAACTGTAAATTTGCTAAGAAAAAACTAAAAGGCGTTATAACACACTTCTCGGTTTCAAAAACTTGAGTTTTATCATAAGGTCGCATAAAAATCAACTCATGTAATTTTAAGTTATATTTAAATATACAACAGGTTACTTCAACCATGTCGTATGCATGTTTTCCTTGTGAGTTTTTTTATAATGTATGTTATTAATTTGCCGGCTGTGGCGGGTTTCTTTCAGAAATCGAAAGAGATATCATCGGCGTGATGCATCGCGGTCATTTGTCGCGCGCAGCGGGGCGCACGCTCGCCGCATCGGCCCAGCGCCCCACCGGCCAACAGAATTCCAAATTAAATTAAAGACCAGCAAAAACAACACCAATGTCTTCAGCAAAAATCCGAATTACCACTAGTAAACTGTTAGATAATTAGGTACTTTAGAGTACATAAGACTTAAACAATAGTTGAACGGTTTGTCGATTACACTTTAACATTAAAATGCTTTTCTTCATTCTTAACTTAATTTTCATCAATCATCTAAAGTCCTTTATTTATTAGTATGCTAAATTATAAGATAACTTTTAAAATTAAAACAATAGGTGTTTCGTAGTGATCACGAGGCCTCCGTTAACTACATTTACATAGATTCGATCTACACTAATTTGTCTATGACTCCCGTAACCACTACAATTTAAAATGAAAAAAGAACCATTGTCTCTGTTCTTATTTTACTCCACAGATAATTAATTAATTTTATCACGATGCAGAGTTCTCGGAAACGTAGGGAAGGGGTCACGGGTCAAAGAATTACGAGTAAATAATTAAATTTAATGACACGCATTTGTCCAGAGACACAAAGGGCGTGTAATATCTGTTGTTGCTCAGGATTTCACGCTTTCGGTGTAAAACAAACGTTAAAATTAATTAACGTCTGCCTACTGATAACGATGGACAGATGTCATTATTTTGTTGCATACCTAATCGGTTTAGTCGGTTTGGGAATAATTGTAATTGTATAAAACGGAAATCCAACTATTTTAAATATTTTAGTTAGTATAGAAGTGCAAACTTAGGTGAGAACGATACCAAGGTTTTATTAAGGTTTGGTCATAACTAATAAAAATTAAGTCCATAAAGTTTGAAGGACAAAACTGAACTCCGCATAATGTAATCTCGCATTGCACCACCTACGGGCGACACGGTCATTATTAAGCGATATTAAATAATTTAATCGAATGTTTTTTCTCGTCCCAGCGAGCGCACTGATCACAGACCAAACTGAGCGCTTCAGAGAGGCGACATAAAGTGCATTAAGCCTCGATACGATATCTCATCTGTCATCATTAATGCCACAGCATCCTAATAAGTTTGCTACAATAAATAAAGGGGGTATATCAAAGAAATGCGCTCTCGATACAATACGGTGACCACACTGACGGCCACAAATACAACTCACGTTGAGACTAAGTATAAAAATGTTTTATCATGATTTTAATATACTTAGCACATTACATACAAAGTAAAATGCAGATAGAGAAGGGTGCTTTTTTCGTTTGTTGCAATAAGAAATGACTATTCGTCTCCTAAAAATGTTATAGACGTCTTATTGCGAAGATCAGGTGTTATCGTACTTACTTAAAATAATATTAGTTATAACTATGTCTATTTCAAGCTGTACTTTATGTGTTAATGTTCCTTTGAATTTTATATCGTTTGGACTATCCTAGTTATTATTTCCTGTGTGAGACCCTAACGGGTCAGGTTGTAATTGTGGCCAAGTGAAATATGTCGGCACAAGGCACGGACTCTGTCGTGGGTGTCTCGCCGTCTTAATATCGACGTTTACACGCTATAAATATTTTAAATTATTATCTTAATGCTGCGTTCATTTACATTTGCACTGCCCCGGCTAGCAAGATACTCCTTCCATTACTATCTTGGATGCTAGGTCATGGCTAAATTCATATAAAACCGACCTCACGTAAAACCTTGAAAGATTATTGGTATTCGAGAGCAAGTCACCTGGCCGCTGTGTCCTTATAAGTGGTGTCTTTTCAAGCTAAATCGGTCTCCGAGTGCGTTTCATCGAACATCCAGGCTTATTTGTGTCCAAAAAGCGCTCGGAAGACGTAAATCCTCGCTTGACGCTCGCCGACGCGCCGCCGACCTTTATATTCAAATCGTCCATTCAAATCCTCGTCTACGCCGCGGCTGACAATTCGCGACCATTTCGAAAAAGGAATGCTCGAACGTCATATCGTTTGAATTTTGCTTTTTGGGCGCGCGATACGCATCTGGCTCCCGGAGAAGTTCCCAAGTCGGGCGTTGTTTATTTGGAGTCGATTGTGTCCGCGAGATCTGTCCTGAGATATTTGACGTCGGGGACTGATAAAGTTAGTGTTCTGGTGCGGCCGCGGCGGGACGTTAACGAGCCGCTGAGTAATGAGACGAGCCATTGTCATCAGAACAATGGCTTCCGATATCCATTGTTTCTATTATTTAAAATGATTGCGGATCCCGAAGATGTTGGTATTTTACGCTATCCGTCTCTATTAAGTTTAATTGAGATATTAGAAATTATTCAAAATATTTATGTATGGAGAATATGAATTGGTGGATGATGATGGCTGAACTATTTGATGTTTTTAACGAAAGTTTATTTAGGCGAGGAATGTAGATCAATATGAAGTCTTTCGACTAACATCAGGTAATATTGGGTGATTTATGACATTTTCTTGTAGGCGTGGTACTTAGGTATTTCAGCAAAATAGTTGTCTTGATAATTAGTGTAGTCGTAATCCTCAATATCACAATTCATATTTCCACTAAATAATTATAGATCATAACGATATGTTTCGATTAAGATATTGAATTGACGTCCACCGAACACATGGTCGCGCGCGCATTCTATCGCGACTCAAATGGAACTGACTCGATTAACAAAATGGCCGCCCTACCAGTGCTCGGTGTTCGCCATGGGCATAGAGTAAGCCTACAAATATAATGGTGTGTGATGTTTATTTGCAAATATCAAAGTCTGAAAGTTGATGCAAATGAGATATGTGGAACCCGACAGCCGCGACATCTGCATACAATGTGGTGCAACTTGGCTGGCAGTGCGGCCGGGGCGGGCGCGGGCGACGCACCAGTTTGCCGGTAATTTACTGCTGATGGTCCACTGATGTCGTCCTTAGATAGCTGCACCCTAATGCTGTTAAAACCAAAATAATTCAAAGTATTCTCTGCTAATCTGAAATAGGAGGATGATGTTATTTTATGTAAAAAGTACCTATTATTTTTGTTTTGATTTTATAAAGTTGTATAAAAAGCTGTATATAGGATGAAGGGTAAGGTTTTAATAAAGATTGCTAGTTATTATCTGTTGACTACCAATTACGGCGCGGGAACGCCCTCTAGTGACAAATTGGCGCCTCGCCTCCGCGCCCTTTTACACAACATGGCTGCTCACAAACTCACAACCTCGATTTAAATTAGCAGTTGTTTATTGTCCGTTACTTATAACTCATAATTCATTATTAAAAAAGATTAATATCATTTAAATTACACGTAATTTTTTTTTGCAATAATATATGTTAAGGGTAAAGGACAACTCGAAATAAAATACTTCCATATAAGTTCATCTAAGGATACAACGTGACATGTAACTACAATTGTAAATTATGAAGTAATAGGTGTTCATATGTAAACACTAGCTCCGCGACCGCGACTCCGTTCGCGTGGAATTACGAAAAACAAAAGCGAGTAGCCTATGTGTTCTTCCAGACATACCAAATTTCATCGAAATCCGTTCAGCCGTTCAGGCTACAAACTCTAACAAACATCCATCCATCTAAACTTACGCATTTATAATATTAGAATGAAGAATGATTATAATTTTCATTACTCCGGAAAAGGAAGAAAACGAAAATAAACAGAATATTCTTGTTTATTTTCAGTGTTGAATAAATTCGATAAAACCATTTATTGCAAAGTGGCGATGTAAATAGTACATCTGTTCAAAAAAGCTTTTACAACCGATTATCTGTCGAATTCTACTTCTATATTACAGTGAGTACCATTCCAAAAACTTTATGCAGACGATAATCATGTACACGGAGCATAATTAAATAGTATTGTTTATAAATAAAGATGTTTATGAATCGATGTGTTTAGAGTATCGTAAAGTTGTCTCTGTAAGTTTGTGAGGTATTTAACTTTACAGTTATAGCGACTTTAATAGTTAATAAATGTTATCAGCTAGCGTAGTTTGATGCAAGCGATGACAATCGGAAACCAGCTATAAGCAGGCAAGATTCGTAGATCTAAACCGCTCAAACATTTTATATTAAATGTTATTCAAATGATTTTATATTTAACTAGCTGTTCCCGTGCGGCTTCATTCGCATGAAATTATAAATTTACTATTTGCATTTGTCAAATTATCAATAGCAAATGTCAAAATGTCAAAATGACATGACATGACAAATCTTGGTAATCTTGCTTTCTTGATGTTGGCAGCACTTTATGGTCTCTTTCCCACATTAGGGTTTTTATCCAAAATATTTATACCCTAAGTTTAACGGCGTGAAAGTATATAGTAAAAAAAGAGTTATTCGAAAATATGCTGTGATTGCAGACATATTAGGCAACAAAGAAGTGTGTGTTTACCCTTTATTATAGTAGTATAGATATAAATTTATAGCAG